TCGTTTCGCAGATTTGGAGACCAGATTCGAGATTATCGTCCAAAAATACATTTAGAGGTGTATGTCTCGTCACAAATGGCCACTTGACAGGGTAATCTATTTCTTGTTAGAATGACGCACACACATGCACTCATTCGCCGCAGTTGCGACGTCACGGCCACGACAAGTAGCGCGGGGATCCGGACAATTTTGTTGGCATACACCCGCAGCCGACCAACCTACTACAGTATCTCCCATTTTGGAAGACGAGAAGAGCGTCGAGTACAGACCACACACCACAAGCCACCACGGCAGAGAAAAAAGTGGCTTTTTTTCAAAGCCGTCCGTCATTTGTGGTGTGTGGTCCGCACTCAAACGTTCGGCACTATTCAACAACTATTACGACCCCAAAAACTCAAAATTTTATTTTTCGTCGAAACTTCGCCTATAGGGGTAATTCGGTGCCCTGATCACGAAAATGAGGTTCATTTTTGGCGCTGGCGCCATTTGGCGCCAAGGGTGTTTTCACCAAATTCGCTGTAAACTTGCACATAGGGGTTATTTGGGGTCCTGATCACGAATATAACATTCATTTTTCCCTCCAGCGCCTGTGCGCGCCTGTTTTCCGCTCGTCTGCGCCCTCTCACTGATCACCTCGCGATCGGGACTAAGCCTTTGAGGAGGAGAGTGCTCCGAAGTGAATAACACTTATCCTGTGATCTTATACGCTTTAACGTTTGCCACATGTTGACTGGTTCACCCACCCCGGAGTCCTCCCTCCTTCTAGGCTCAGTCCTAGGTATTATGTACAAGTGAGAGGACCCAGGAGAATGGAAAATGTGCGTTGAACGGTGGAAATGCTAAAAACGAATGACATATCCGTAATCAGGACCCTAAATAACCCCTATGTGCAAGTTTACAGCGAATTTGGTGAAAACACCCTTGGCGCCGCCAATTGGCGCCAAATGGCGCCAGCGCCAAAAATGAACCTCATTTTCGTGATCAGGGCACCGAATTACCCCTATAGGCGAAGTTTCGACGAAAAATAAAATTTTGAGTTTTTGGGGTCGTAATAGTTGAATAGTGCCCAACTCTTCTCGGCTTCCCGAAATAAGAGGAAAAATCTGACTTAGAAGTTGGGCACGATGAGCACCCGAACTGAGCGTACATTATGATGTTGCCGCCGCAGTCACGTACAATGTGCGACGCAATGACGCGCTGAAGCGTGTGCTCGCCTCCCTCTTCTCGTTTTCTCTCCTTTCAACGAGGAGAGTATGCGAGTAAACTCGCCAACTATGCTGAGCGCCGTTCATGTAGGAGGTGATGGCACGTAGTCCATTCTCGGATTGCTGCCTCGGAAGCTGTGGTAGCCTCATTGGTCGCATAACCATACGACAGGTGCCCCGAAAAGCGCGTCCAATACGTCGCGCATTGTACGTGACTGTGGCAGGATCATCGTAATTTACGCTCAGTTCGAGTGCTCACTGTGTGCAAACGATTCAAGCCGGTAAATCCTTCCATAGCTATTTCACTATATTTCAATCAATCGGCTACGCTTATTTTCACTCAGGGCACCGAAACAACTACTACAAGGACTATTACTGTTATTTTATTCACAGATTAGTCCCCCGTCAACCGCCGGGACCTTCCTTTCCTGCGCAAGCTTTCTATCCTCCGCTATGGTCCCTTCCTCCTGTGACACCAACACCTCCTGGAAGTGACGCGTATGCAACACAATGGTGTTTCATACAGTAGAAGGGACACAATCATGATATGACGGTAGATTTTTCGCTTCCCTTCCTCATCCTCCCTTCCTCTCTCCACTGCCCTCCAGCTGCCACTGCAGCACCATGTGGAATGAACGGAAGTGTGCTAAGCAGGTGTTTATATAGCCCTAAGAGTGTTATCACAACTATCCTGCTACAAAACATTGATATCTCAAATCCTGTAAGCTACCCGATTTGTTAGCGGTTTGTTTATCCCATGAGCTTCCTTCTCACTCACTTCATTTTGCGGACGGACACACATACATACATACACACACACACACACACACATACAGATACACAAACCGACACACAAAGTTAGCGCTTTATAAAATAGAAGGATTTATACCAACTTCTATTATGTAATGCGACAGGGTTACCCCCCCAATTTATCCGATATAGAGGTCGGAACGGTGGTAATTGATATGCGCTACCCACGCGGATACACTGCAACCTCATAGAACAGCCTTCACGCATCTGACCGTTCCATCAGCGTGTTAGTGTCGGATGAAAATACTGAATATGTCTAGGCAATATCACTTTTTCAGTTTAAGCTGCACCTCCATCTGGAGCGGTCAGAAATGGTGAAGCGATAACAGGAGTGAATGAACAGAAGACCGGTTTTCCACCGTGATTGCAATTTCTGCCGAATTTGTCGCAGGACGGCAGCATTGTTAAGCTCAGCTTGAAGGGAAGAATAAGCATCGAGGGACAATACGGTGCAAGGTTGCATAGATGCTGCATCCTGGGGATCTGATTAACGAAATGAACACGGGGGTCAACTACAGAGTTGTAGCAAGAGGTCACTTCGTGCCATGTTACTATGCTTCAAGACACCCGTACAAACCGATGACAATCGAGGGAGAAGCGGTTCGACATCGCACGTGTTTTAGGGATCCAGAAGTGGTAGCGCTCTGGGCGCAGAACTATGCAGTTGTGTGAGACACCTTGGCCGTGCTGTCACGTATCACCTGTATCACCTGTCGTCCCGTTGATCGTCGATTTGCTCGAGCGGGCGCCAGCAACGTCTCCATTCGTCCCTGTCGCGTGCTAGGAGTGGTCCAGTGGATCCTCCTTGCTCGAGGGACACGAAGTCCATCATTCCTTTCGTTCAGAGCTTTCGTGAAGAAGTTGACCATCGGGCCGGCGCTCAGCATGCTTCGTCACGATAAGTAGTGCATTTGTTTAGGTATACCGACTGTACACTCGAGTCCAGAGGGGAACTAATACCGAGATATTCCTGCTTTGATCTACGTTTCACAGATTTTTGGCAAGTTGCTAGCTAAGAACTTACTTTATGTACAGCAGTGTTCGTGCTCTTCCTTCGAATACGGTCCATACCATTACTCGCGGGAGAAAGTGACGAAAATGAACCTCACCCATTCACTCGAAAGGCACGATCTTTATCAAGCCTTATCCAGTATTTTGTTTTATCTCATTTTAAGTGCTATTCTACCGAAGGCATGAGGGCCTGTTCATACTTTGAGAATTCGGCGAAGATGCGAAGATGCGATGATGCGACCGAGCGATTCTATCAAATGATGTGCGTGCATATTGATTGACTTGACTCCGCCCATAGCGTAACTTGCGAGAGCGCGTCTGGATTGCAGCGATCGCGCGAGGCGAAGATGCGAAGAAGCGACCAGCGTGGAAGGATAAGATACGCGTCGACAGATAAGATGCAAGTCTATGAATGAATCACTGATCTTATCCATTTATTGACATGTCGCCGTTAAAGTATTCTATTTTAGATAATCTTCTCTATCTGCGTTGTTTTACCTCGGAAATTCTTTAAACATATAAAAAATAGAAATTTTCAGCGCATTTTTGAGAGGTGCGCTGTACTAGTGTTAATCTTCTGCTCAGGCATGAAAATAGTTGAGTTTAATATGACATGGATCGCATTAACGAGGGAGCATGAGCATGCATATAAACATGAGTACACTTGAAATCTTTAATAATACACGTGGTCCACATCAATGAAACGTTAGCTTCATTACCTGTCCTAACATGAACAAAGCG